TGGTTTGTTTTGCAGCTACAAGGAGGCCATGATCATGGAAGTTGGTGCAGAAGAGAACGGATGCAAGTGCAAGTGTGGCTCTACCTGCAGCTGCGTCAACTGCACCTGTTGCCCCAACTAAAACTCAAAATCCTTCCTCCTTTAATCAAAAACGTAATATGAATAAAAGTTTATGTGAGCTTTATCTATGAACTCTCTTATGACTCTCTCTAATATGGTGTGTTTGTAATGGGTTATTATTGGCTCCTTTATCCTTTAATCCATCATACTATTTATTACTAGTAATTACCTTGTTTCTTTTTAACTAAAAGATCTAAGACTTCAAGAGTTACAAGATAAATTGAAAATATGGTTTCTTTTGGACTTTTATTTCCAATCATAACAAATGGGATTTTGTATCCAAATACAAAAATCTGATGAAAGATATCATCAATCTCATGCTTTTTTGTTACACTATGTCGAACAATCTATGTTGCTCATTTACTTTTGATCCATCAAATTATGTAATAAGAAAATATGTTTCAGACGTTGAAACCTTCTGCTCGGAGACACATTTTATGAGCCTCGATCCATTTTGTGCAAGCCGATTCGCCATGCTCTACGATGCACTCATCTCTCAGCTTCTTTGTATCAGGGCAAGCGCAACATATCCTCTTCTTTGGTTTTGTCTCTGTCGAGGAGGCTGCAACCTTATTTGGCTCTGAAACGGGTGGAGGAATCAAGCCATTGATTGCTGGTTGATCACTCATCGTCCTGTCAGTCACAAACAAGAAAGGAAAAATATGAACATCGTAATGAACAAAGGGCACAAAAATATCATCGGTCATTGAGTAAAGTCTTCCACATACTAGATTTGATAGTCAAAAAGAGTACTTAAACACAAGAAAACCAATCAATCATTCATCTGTTTTAAAGATCAAATATGTTAAACCCCAAAGGTTTCTCAACATCTAAACACTAAATTACACAATACACGCACTCGTTCATTATCGAACACAAACAAAAATATCAAGATAACATACTTGGTTACCTAAAACCAAGCTCAACAAGAGTAAACAGGTTAGTGTATAGAACTCCATGATTACCTTCTACATGGTAAGAAATCGATAACAAGAACTACCACAAAGACATCATTGAGAAACTTCTGATCACGAATCAGTGGCTTGAAATATTCAAAGTAACTTATAAATTCCACATTTTTTCCTATCTATATCTATGCACAAAAACCCATCTGAGATAATTGATTAATTTAGCATGGACAAGACTAGCTCGATAAACAAATCTGATAAACCCTAAACATCCAGACGAAGCTTAAACCCCTGAACAACCCAAAATCACGAAATTTCATCCCTAGGATAACCGAAACACCAAATTCATATACCAATTCGGTCAGATTTCAATTCAACTAGCAAGCAAGTATATTAAACCAAGGATTTCAACAACAAGAACAAAGACGGTGGAAATGTTCAATAATAATTTGCAGCATCTTGATACAGAATTTCTGAAAAGGGAAGAAACTTGTTTTAACCTTTGAAATGGATTTAGAGAGGAAATATCAAAAGAGCAGAGAACCGGCGAAAAATCTCGYCGACGGTATGAAAAGAGTAAAGAGTAAAGACCTTTCTGGCGACTTACTAAAATGAAGAAATCAAAGTAGAGCCACCATTAGACCCCAACAAAAACAAAAAAAGCCACCAAATTAGAAAAAATTACATTTGAATGTTATAATTACAATACAGGCCTCGAATTGAGTCTATAATGGGCCAGGCCCATTTTCTACACCGCCGTGTATTCCCGGAGTTTAGGGATTCTTACCCCAAAAAAAAAAAAACTTTTTTTAATTGATGAGAATTGGTGTGATGTTGTCTTCACTGATTCCTCTGCAACTTCCAACTCGCATGGAAACTCATCTTTGGTATATATTACCTAATGAGATCAAGAGCCAATCTCTACTAAAACACTACACTGAGATTCTGTCACCATCAGAGAAAGATCATCTTCTTCGTATGCGTTGTGATGAGCTAAAGAAGAAGAATGTTTTGCTTGCTCGTACCTCGGTCCGAACCACCATTGCAAGATATCAGACAAACAACAACAACACTACTGTGGTGGATCCAAAGTCATTGAAGTTCAAGAAGAATTTGTATGGAAAGCCTGAAGTTGTAGATTTGGACAATGATGATACTAACCATCCGAAACTGCAATTCAACATCTCACACACTGATTCGTTAATAGCTTGTGGAGTTACAGTAAACGTTCCGATTGGTATTTGATGTTGAAGACAAGAGAAGGAAGATGAAACATGATGTGTTATCACTTGCAAAGAGGTTTTACTCTTGTGAAGAAGTTAACTTTTTGTCAACTATAACAAACACTGAGGCTCAGAGAAAAGAGTTTGTGAAGCTATGGACTCTCAAAGAAGCATATGTGAAAGCATTAGGAAAAGGCTTCTCTGCTTCACCTTTTAATACCTTTTCAATCATCAAAACTAAAGAAAGCTACAATCTTTGCGAGGCGGAGGAGAGAATCGGAGCATGGAAGTTTGCGGTTCTCGAATTGGTTGCTTCCTCTCATTACGCTACAATCTGCATTGAAGATGATTATGGAGTTGGAGGAGCTCCTATGAATGTGATTGTCCACAGAACCATCCCATTCTTAGAAGATGAACTTATCTCTGATTAGAAACTAAT